TTTACGTTACACTTGAACGCATCATGATAACCTAATTGTCGTTTTACTGAGCCAATCTGAACACATCATCACGCAGCACGTCTGAAACTTTATTTACTTTTCAAGCTAACTAGCTTGTATGCTGCCGATTACAACACAGATTTCACAATTACTATTGTAATAATAAAAAACAACCAGACTCGATAGTGGTATCGATAAGCCCAAACGTTATTGATTTTCGGGTTTTGAAAAAAGTGGAACCGGGTCCTTGATAGAACCGGGTTTCGATCCCCATCCCTAGTTAAAACTGAAAGAAAAAAGCAGTCTGACATTTGATACATTATTGTGACAGTCTTAGGTTAAAAATAGGCGAGATTCTGGCATTGCAAGCGAGGAAATAGTGCTAATTCCAACATGTGCTTCCCTCTAAATGCAAAGTGGTCTATACAGCAGACCTATAAATGCTGTTGGCGCGTCTGATTTTTATCGGCTACGCTGCTTCTTCTTCTTCTGGTTTCCTACTGGTGGTTGGCTTTGGGCGCAGTAGCGCCCCCTTCTGCTCTGGAGTGTAAACGCTTCCCTCTGAGAAAAAGGAGCAGCATGAACCGAACACAACACACGCGAACCGAACCGAGACAGTCCAACCCAACGGTTCGGACGGTTTTCAGAAACCGTCCCATCCCTAATATATATATATATATATATATATACACACACAGTCTTGTTTCTGCCACATTAGAGTGATTATTATTTGATACTTTGCTCATAATTTTGTCTACCTTGTTTTGCACTTTTATTCCACTCCTTGCGAGTGCGTTTTGAGTTAATAAAACCTTTTGTTAACTCAAATCTCTGCATTTGGGTCAGAATCAGAATCAGAAATACTTTAATAAATACTTTAGTCCTGCCTGGAGTCACCACCCTGACGGGTCTGAATAATGGATCCCCATGTCAGAGTGTCTGTATATTATATACAGTATATCCTCCTGAGACCTGGCCATTCATTCATTTATGTCCATTATAGTGGACATTTTGTCCACCTGTACCCCCCCTAAGTATCTGGAGTTACCCTATCAACCCCTACAGTGTTCTGTAGAGCACATCCTGGGCTTTCCAGTGATGTTCCATGTGATAGGTTTGCATGCTGGAACTTTACTTTTTTTCCTAAGAGTTCTTAGGTAAATATCCCTTTCAAGACATCTTCTTTTTTTATTATTTAATTATCTAAAGCCTGTTCTATTTTCCCATGCAAATCGTCCTGTTGTCCTCCACAGTGGACATGCTATGAAATTAAAATTAAAAATATATTTTTTTTAAATTAAGACACTTTTTTTCTTTGGGTCTCAGGAGGATATATATATAATATATATATATCCTCTTTGCCCCGGCCTGCGTTTTAAGTCTCTTGCTGGTTGTCCGCAGTGCTTCTGGCTAAATTCGGGATGGACGGGAAAAGAGACACACGCTGGCCGGAGAACAACTCCCTAAAGGACCACGAGGTCAAAGAGGGAGACGAGTTCGACGACCCCAGGCTGGACAAACTCTGGAACAAGGTTTGTGCCTCCTAACGGTGCTCAGATTTTTAAAATCCCCTTTGTGTGGAGCCAGGAAGGGTTGTCAAAAGTATCGATACTCCAAAAAGTATCGATACTAAAATGTTGTATTCGGATACGATACTCATTTTCAAAAGTATGGATACTAAAATGTTGTATTCGGATACGATACTCATTTTCAAAAGTATCGATACCACGGTCCCGTCTCTCTGATTTAGTTATGTATTTATTTACGTTGTTTATGATCATTAACAAGACGTTAGCCTTGAACTGTTAGCTGCGGCTAATGGTTAATAATAACATGCTACCATTAGTCAAGTACATATCCAACTCCGCCCACATCCAAGTCGGCCATTTTGGTTACATCCTAATTGCTTTATGGCAATATAGACATTCATTTAAAAATAGTGAAATTAATCTTTAAAACACTTAATTAAACTCTATCCATAATATTATGTTAAAATAGTGTATGTTAAATAGGTTTGTACAATAAGTCCAAACAAGTTTAACCAAAAAATATTTATTTCTCACAATTATGAAGGTGGAGGGTTAGGGTTAGGGTTAGGATTATTAATGCAGGCCACCACTCACGATAACATGAGTAACAGGTCAGTTTGAAATGAAAGACACTAAACCGTCAAAATTCAGTTAAATTTTGGGGTCTTTGATTTTATCCTTGTGGTATCAAATGGCATTGAATATTTTCCTGAGTATCGGTATCAAGTTGAACATTTTAGTATCGGGGGCTTTCACACGATTTGACCACAATCGGGAACTTTTACTCTACATTTAGCCCATCAAACTTTCATTTATGTTTGTTTAGATAAGAAATCTCCAACTAGCCACGTATCTATAGAAAAAAAAAACTATTACAGGAGATAAAATTCACACAATTTGACCACAATTGGGAACTTTTACTCTACATTTAGCCCATCAAACTTTCATTTATGTTTGTTTACATCAGAAATCTTCAACTTGCCATTTATCTGGAGTCAAAAAAGCACAAAAAAGAGATAGTAAATAGATTATCCAAAATAGGAAATGTGCAGCAACTAATCTATAATCTATAAGGACTAATCTATAAACTAAAATGGGAAAAAGTGTATGATTTTTTTCTACATCTGCCTCTGAACGGTGAGGAGTTGCTTTGGATTTGGATCCACGAGACCAAGCCGATGACATTTTAAGCCCCTTTTTTAGGACTTTTGGAGCCCAAAAGCAAAACAGGGTTTGTTTTTATCGATGCCCAGGTCCTCTAACCCCCCCCCT